GCAGTCTCTGGCTAATTCCACCCAAGCTATCCACACACTCCTTCAGTCCACAGGAAATTTCTCAGCCTGCACAGCATCAGTGTCCCTCTTCACTGCCAGGCCTCCTGTCAGGCCTTGTGTTGCAGCCCGCCTCCGTGTTCAACGTATTGCAAGCCACTCGTCAAACTCTGGCCTCTGAAGCATTGTTTTCATTTTCCCAGTGTGACCTGTCCGATGATGAATCAATTACCGTAAATTCTATAATAATGGCCAGGTCCTATATACCTCAAATGCAAGCACTGATAGAGAGAGATCACGTACATTTGCTGAGGTTCTATACTCTGGTGTGTTTGACATATCTGTGCTACGTTGAGTATTTCTATTTTATGCATTTGTGCTCTGTTCCACTGCATTTCAGAAAGAAATATTGTATATTATTTTGCAGATTCAGATTAATAATACAAATATTATAAACAAATTAACATGATATATATTGTAGACTGACTCATTGTGCACGTCAATAAATTATTTGTTCACTCAGATGAAGTCTCCCCTTAATAAAAATAATAAAACGTGTCCATTGAGAAATGGCCCCAAGATCTCTGGGTGTTGTTGAACCAATAACGAAATCTACATTAACTACATTTTATTGGCTTTTTTCCCATGTTCTCATGGTTTGGAATTCCCTCACATTGTCTTTGTTACCTTCTCTGTTGGTCTGTGCAGAGTCTAGTAGTCATGTGTCTAATATTTGCGAGACAATCTGGAAAGACTGTGTGCTGCTGTCTGTCTGAATGGTCTTATAAAGGGGCATTTGGTATGTAAAGCCCAGCTGCAGCCTTCCACAGCAGCTGCGAGAGTAAGACAGAGGGTGTCTGGAGTCTCCTCTCAGCAGGAATTCCTTATCTCGTAATGACTAACTGGCAGAAGTGAAGTGTGTGTGTGCAAGAGGGAGACAAGGGGAGGTAAGAAAGCATAAAAGCAACTCATTACAATGAAGGGCATTGGCAAGGTAAATACATAAAGCATGTGACACACACACATACTTACACACACATGCTCTGCTCTTACACTGACAATAGAAGGTCCAGTACTAAATACAACTGTGACTAAAATACTAGCTCAGTCCATTCTCAAGTCCTTACTATTTGACCTTGATGGAAAACATCAACAGCTGATTCTGATTCTCCTCAGAGTGTTGACAGTCATTGAGCTCTTTAAAATCATTACAGAGTTGAGCTTGTTAAAGTAAATGTTCTTTATTTCATTGAATGTTTTACTTTGTAGGAGGAAGTTCATCTCTGGCTCAGCCTCACCTGTCCAACACACATCTTCTGTTTTCTTTTGGTCGCCATGGTTTCTTGTGTCTTCCTGTTTGGAATGCCAGTTTGTGTCACTGAGCCTGTACCTGGTTAGTATCTGTGTCTGCTTTCTATCTCTGACGGCAGAGACAATTTATGCCACTTGATCTTTTTTTAGGGCCAGATAACCTTCTACATTTGCTATAACCAACAATAGGAAGAATTGGAGAAACACACACTGTACTGACTTTTTGTTTTCTTAGCACCGAATCAGGTGCGTATCATGTGGTTGAACCTAAGATAGTCTGTGGCTCATGAGGTAGAGAGGGTTGCCGGCGGTTCAATCCAAGCCATCCTTGGGCAAGATACTGATGGCTGTTCTGCCAGTGTGTGACTGTAGTGTAAACACACTGCTATACAGAGCAGTCAGTCTTAGCTGTCAGAATGCCAATTAATCCTCCTTGAAGTATGATCTTATGAGATGCCATGGCCTTACATCACGGAATATCTTGCAATGGAACCTTGTATTTATTGATTACTTGCTAAAACAATGCTTTCCCTTCATTATTTATCCTTCACTTTTCCATGGGTGCGGTATGGAACACTTTAGATGTGCTGTGGCCATATGTATTTAGACTGCGGCCTCACAGCAGGGGATAACCATGCTCATCTGCAATGTTGTCTACCGACTTACAGAGGAGACAACCCCTACCCATGTCTGGCAGTAAACAACACATGTAACGGGCAGGTAACTAGAGCAAAGGGGTGTACTCACTTTTGTTGCCAGCGGTTTAGACATTAAAAGGCTGTGTAATGTGTTATTTTGAGGGGACAGCAAATTTACACTGTTATACAAGCAGGACACTCACTACTTTACACTGTAGCAAAGTGTCATTTCTTCAGTGTAAAATCAAATATTTACATAAATGTGAGGGTGTACTCATTTTTGTGAGATACTGTATTTCTATAGCACCTTTTGTATTACAATATTTATCAATAAAGCATGACTGACTTATTCAAAGATTTTAGGGCTAGAACCCAGATCTCTGCTGACCCAGAACCGCAGAACCGCTCTGGTATTGGAATTGGTATGGGGAGAGTTGTTATTAGCAGTGCTATTGTTTGAAATTGTTTGGACTACCTAAGACAATGTGGACACTCATAGTCACCAGTGCTCCCACTGGATATGTTTTAAATATTAGAACAAACAGCTACAGTGAGCTGTTAGATAAAGAGCTGCAGAACATAGGCTCTACCTCCAACACATCATCAAAGTAACAACAACTTTTACTCTGACATGATGTCCTGTGAAAGTCAGTTGTGTTGTGTGTGCACATTACAAGATCTATTTGCTCACTGCTCTCTTCCCACTTTCAGAACTAGCTGCTCTAAAACAGTACAAGCAGGCTTTTTCAACTTGGTGGATGATGCTCTGTCGGACCTTGTTGTGAGACTCCACATATCCACCTTCAGTGTCCAGTGATGCTGTTGGAGAGGGTTTTTTATTCCAAAATACAGTTTGGAGAGAAACACTGAACTCTTTTAGCAACTGCAGGACACCAAGGACACAATCCAACATCCCTACTGAATATATGATAAAGCATTTCACTAAATCTTCCACTTCACTTCCTGCATATGAATTTCTCATGAAGCAGTTAGAGACAGACAGAGGAACACAGATGAGGTCATGTGTTGAGGAGCAGGAGAGCAGCTGGACTCAACATCATCACACACACACACACACACAACCCGCACACACGCGCACACACGTGCACACACGCACGCGCACGCACGCAATATTTAAAGAAAGAACTGACAGTGGTGCTTACACATATGGCTCAGTGCACCACAGCAAGCCTGGAGGGGCTTTCCCAGAGTGTACACACACACAGAGCCTGTCACCTGCTGGCCCAACTCACCCAACCACAAGATCAGAACTGAATTATTAACCATCTTATTATTTCACTGGTGGTCCTCCTACACACACACTCTCACACACAAGGAACTGCAAGTTGTTTTAGTCTAGTGGGGCAGTGTGATGTGGAGTGTGAAGGTAAAAGCCGCTATGGGATTCTATCACGAGGACACATAATTTTGTAGTTAGGAATTATTTAAGTCCCCTTTCTTTTTCTTTCTCACCACCACTGATGATACCAAAGTATCATCAGTAAACTTCATAGCAGGAAATATAAGCCCCTTTCAGACAGGCACCTCTTTCCAAAAATCTGATGGCAATTTTTTCATCTCTGTCTCGTGTCTGAAAAAGCACCCAAGTCACTTTTACGTAAAAATCACAGCAGCAAACAGGTCAGACCTACGCACAAACATTTCTGTAACACTCTCAACACGACGTGAGTCTGAACTGAATGATGTTAGATTAACTCAAAGGCTGCAGGCTGCAACACAGAGGGAAATTAAACACATGTTGTGTTTGCCTGATTAATATCACTTTTATAAATGTGTGACAAACGCTCCATCTCCTATGCTCAAAGAAAATAATATCACTTTAATAAACAGTGTGACTGAGGCTATTTTAAGTTGTTAGGGGGATTCTTCACCAGCGGTGACTGGTCCAAAAGTGAATAAAAAAATACTTGTATAACCACAGTGTTAGTCAGAAGAGCGCTCTCTCTCCTTCTATTTTCAGGTTTTATTCATGCTAACTGTATGGATGAATAAATGAATAGGAATATGAGCAAATAGGAGTTAAACAAAGGAACAACATAACACTTTGTCACTATACACTTGTGCACTGTAGAATATTGGCAATTATGTAACGTAATGATCTGGTTATTAAACTGATGAAAAAATTTACTAGGAGGTTCACAGGAGACTAAGCTGGGGAAGTGTCCCGAGTGAGAAAACAGAAAATCTTCCCAACTCACTCACCACAGTGATCCCACTTCCTCTCGTACACCAGGTGCCAAGTGCTGCACGCACAAGTTTCCTTCTGTAACCGTCCTGTCATGTCTGAATAAAGCCGTCAGCACATTAAGGTAAGAACAACCACTGTACGTCTGCATGACAAAAAGCTAACACTTTACCAGCTTGATAAAACCAGCAGTGTTACGTATTCCATGTCTGAAAAGGGCTATGCTGTAGTTCTGGTCAGCAGGTTAACCACCTTTCTATATCACAACTGTAATGTAAAGCTTTCACACTTCATTAATGGTCCTGAACTCTCCGAATCACTCAGATCTGCCACAGTGTGAAAACTGACCAGAAACTCTCCACTGAGGCCACAGATAAAAAACACCTTTAGAATAACTGTGAAACGCTACAGCAGATGATACTGGCTGGCTGGTAATTATATAACAGCCAAATATCTGCAAACCTTATCATGTAGCACAAAGAACAACCTTGAATTTTTGGATTGACAATAAACAGACACACACATCACAGCAAGCACAAACAGTGATAATAGCAGGAAGTGTGCGTGTGTGTGCATGATACAAAAACAGCCACAGCTGAGGTCAGGAACAATGAAACTATGCTCTATTCTCATGATATTTCATTTTCAAACTGACATCAGCAACATATTCGCCCCTTAGTTCTTTCTTTCTCCTTCATTCCCTTTCGTCTTTCCTCCATGTTTCTTTTCTAAGGTTTAAAGCTTGCTTTTATCCTCCTTCTTTCTTTCGCACTGTTTCTGTAAACTAAGAGCACACGTCTGATCCAAAAATCTTCCTTCCTTCCTTCCTTCCTTCCTTCATTCCTTACCTTGCCCAGCGGCTTGTTGCTACTATCCCAGTTCCTCTTATCCAGGGAGGGGGGCACCTGGTACACATCCTGCCCAGCTCCTGTCCCCCCAGCTGGGGCTGCTGCCTGGCCTGGCCCTGGGCCTACAGAGGGGGGCACTTGGTAGATGTCCTGCCCAGGCAGCTGATACTGTCTCTGGGCTAGGGCTGGGCCCTTGCTGGGGGGTCCTGGCTGGGTCTGTGGGGGGGGTCCAATTGGGCCAGAGGGGATCTGGTACAGGCTTTGGGGACTTGGTTTGGAGCTGTGAGAAGGGGGCATCATGTAGACAGAGTCAGGATTGGGCTGTGCAGGGCTGGGGGTGGAGTAGGCCGGGTGCATAGACGTGTACTGAGTTGATGGGAGGGGCTTGTTGGCAGCAGACGACGGCACAGCCGTTGGCTTGGTGTAGCCGCCCTGAGGAAGGAGGGGTCGCTGCGCATGTGGGGGCGGACAGGAAGTGGCTGGATCTGGCGTGGAAGGTGTGGTCGGCTGCTTGCTGTCGTACATGCCGACCAGAATCTTGAGACGGTTGCCAGGGACAATGCCTTGGCGGCCGTGGAGGGAGCAGAGCCACCAGCCGTCCAATCCTTGCGTGTCACGCTCCAACACCGTCATGATATCGCCTTTGCGGAAGGACAGCTCGTCCGGAGACTCTGCCACGTTGTCATACAAGGCCTTGGCCAACACGTTCTGTAGAAGAAGGACAGACAGACATATATGAGAATCATACTGTACGTATTCAAACTGGTTCACGTTCATCTACTGTAGCTTTAACAAAAGAAGAAGAAGATATCTGTTGGTCTGTGGGTTTGTTACTGTGTACAGCAAGAAGAACTACAACACAGTGTACAAAAGCGCAGTAAAACAAAACTGAAAGTTTACAGTCAGTACTGTCAGAAGTGCTCTCTGTCTCTGTCATTTTGTTTTTGGTATTTCTTGCCCCTGTATTGGTAGATCATATAATGACACAGTCAGAACTTAAAAATCAGAGACAGGAACAATAAATCTCATGGATTTCCAACTTGCAATGGGGGAAAGTTGCTTTCATTTCAAAATGTATTTGCTACCACATTTACACATTCTGATATGCACCAAGACATTAAAGAACAGAAATGCCAGGGATCCAGTATGTGTGGGCTGTTTTAGAAACTGTCTCTATTGTCAACTTGAAAAATTATTATTTTTTATTTGTTTATGTAAATATCAAAAATCTTGTATGAGTCAGACTTAGTACAAAGGAAATCAATGCACTGCACCATTTTGTGCAGGAAATGATCCACACAGCTAAATAGGCTGCTTTCTAAAATGACATATGAACATTTTGCACCCTTGTGCTTAATGGTTTGAGTAGGTTTAGGATTAGGGAGATTAAGATTGTGGCTATGGTTAGAAGAAATCAACACTGACTATTGGTAGAAAATAGGATGTAAAGCACTCTTGTGTCATAGTCACATGCTTAGTTGTCTCTAAATCAAATTGGTTTTCTAAAAATGTAACACTTAGTCTCCAGGATCTTCTTGGAGCTGTGAGTAGCTTCTCTGCGACTTTTGTGCAAAACATCAGGGATCAATAGTGTCCATCGACAGCACACTCAAAAATAGAGCACGTTTAGTATGCAGCCTCACTTTTAAAGATTCTTTTTTGGTACTTTTCCAGTGTGAACACACTACACACTCAAAATCTGCTTAGAATGAAAATGTAGTGTGGACCTGGAACACAGTAGCTTTGATAAATTGTGCTGAGCCGTGTAAAGTGTTCGCTGTGTTATACGTGAGTAAAACCGAAGAATCCCAGCCACAGCTGTGCATATAATTAGGATGGCAGCTACATGTGTTACCATGCAGCCGGAGAGGGGACAAAGTACAAGGACACTAAACTGCTGTTACTGTTTGATAATGGATAGAGTCCGGGGTCAAGTCTGGACATATTAAACATATTAAATGAAGCTGTTAGCTCTAATAAGTGTGTGTAATAAGAGTGCATTTTATAAAATGTATCTGATCTGTAGTATTTCAACATTTAGTGAACAGAATTGAGATCCTACTGCATTGGAGCTGAGGTTTTGCATGTCATCACTGACTGCCAGCAAACACACACACAGTATACACAGCAGCTGGACACTCAGGTGGAAGAAGTCTCAAATTCCACATGGTCAAAGGTGACATTCAGTAAAAGAAACAAAATATAGTTAATTGACAAGCCAGAAGATTTTCCCCATCATGTCCTCCAAACTCTATTTTGGTTGGAATCCTACTAACACACATGCACACGCACATCCATCCGAAACCCAGCGTGCAAACAGAAACACCTCCCCTCAGTCTCTCTGGAACTCGGAAACTAAACCAATATTTGTCGTCCACATCTGAGCTCCGCCTGCTCTCCTCCCTCTCTGAGTTCCACCCCAACTATCACAGAGTAGTACAGCCTGTGCTGGCCCCGCGCCAGCTTCACACACGCACACACACACACTAACCTAAGCACAAAGCACTGCCCATTTAAATGAGGCCATGTAACTGGCTTCCACACTTCAGTCAGACTTTTCTTTCCCTGCACTGAAGGCCTGTTCATTGCTTCAGAGTGGGCTGGGAATGACACTCGACCCCAATATACTCACTTTATCAAAATAATTCACTGGCTGTGTTAACATGCACACAAAATTCCCTTTTTAGGGAAAGAAAACACATGCCAGATACTCCTCCACAATTATGTGATATTCAGATGCTTTGTGATCAAAAGTCCGTTTTCTTGTCTTCAGTTTGTCATACTTCCCCTACTTCAGCGTTTTGCCTCTCGCTCCATCACTTGCAAGTGGCTCTGCGCTCACCTTAAATATCGGTTTAACATACTAGCAGGAGCTAATGATGGTCCAGTAACAAACTCACTCTTGCGCCCAGCAGTCTAACTTTTGAAAGGTATTTATAGATTCTGGACTATTCTGGATATTCAAGGGGAATTTATTTTATTTTTAAAAGCAGAGTATTTCTATATGTCAAACCATAACTGGAGCTGCTCAATAATGTGTTACTAAATTCTGTGGAGTGCTTGTCGACCCCGCACAGGTGTGTCTGTGTGTGGCCACCCCCTCGATACACTAGTGTTGTAGTGTTGTAACTGATTGATTTCTGCCTTACAAGAGCTGGTTCAATCCCTTGGTGTTTTTAACCATTTAAAACAAAGTCTCTCTCAGTAGGGATCCTTTCCATAGTGTTGTCAGACACTTAATATGTATAATAATAACAATCTGAGCCTGTCAGTTGCAAAAACAAGCACTTTGTAGACGTACAATTGCCTGCAAGGATTACTTTGCAGCCCTGTCTCGGTGCAGCGAGCTACTCAATACTGGACCAATTTCAAAATATGTTGTCCCAATTAACTACTTAGACACAAAAACATGGGCAAATAGTGTCCAGGTTGAAAATGTCATAGTTAGCCTTTAAATCGACTGTCCATACAGGATCAAGTCTTGTCAGAGAACTGCACCTGCCCAGAGAATATAGATCAGTACGTTGGCTGGGAATGCTGCACACCCCTGAAACTCAGGACGCATTTGTTCTAAGTTCTCACCTTGCAGCAGAGATACAGAAGTGTGCTCCAGGGTGTGTCAGGATGGCGTGACATCACAGTTGACCGTACCCAACAGAGGGCAATAGTCTGGAAACTTTCAACCAGAGAAGTCAGTCAGTCCCTTTGGTGTTCATTTACTCTTTAATGCCACATTTATGTTTGTTGACCAAATTCCCAGAGGACGGTAAACATGTAGGACTATCAGCTAGTAGTTTTACATTATTTTCTGTCCAAATCATTCCCATTGCTAGTTAACAGTAACCACGGTATGCTCCTTTCTTGTACAGGAAGAACTCTTAATTGTAGATGTCTTCTGATACAGGTAAATGTCAGGAGCATCAGGACAGATGACTATTAGGCTCATCATTTGTTTCCTCTAACTGGGTTAGTCTGCCATGGAAATCAGAGATACACTCATTCAGATATACTGTATCTGCCGTGTTATAGTCCCTCTGGCTTGTACGATATGTGCACACTCTCCAGAACCGCTGCCAATCAGCTCTGTTTCTTTGGAGGATGAACACGCGTCTCTGTCTGTTCTCTGCTCTTTCTAAAATTGTTGGGTCTCAGTAAATAATTGTACAAAGAGTTTGGTCTAGACACACACACAGACACACACACCTTCCAATGTCCAGAGAAACAGGAAGTGCAGGATGATTCACACAGCCTCATGATTGAAGGATGAGTCAGCGACTTGACCCTGAGGTCTCAGAATCAGCCTGAATAGATTCTCATGCCCTCTCTATTTCTGTCACGTTGTGAGTTGAATAAATGAAGTTAGATGCTCCCCAAATGTAGCTGCCATAAAAAGGGATCGGTTCAAGAATGAGACCTAATCGTGTACCTCATTTTAAGGCGGTACCTTCTGCGTACTGGATAGGGCTAAAGAATTTCAAATGATGAAAATGTCTGCTGAGAAGATTCCGACTACAGTTCACCATCTACCAGCTGTCAGTCATTCAACCACTACCTAGCTAACTAGTTGCTAATTTGTAATTCGGTTAATTCACAGAATTTACGTTAATTAGTTGCAGCGGGCTTAACTTGTTGGCAAGATTTTAGCTACACCTTCAGAGCCATTTTTTCCCAGGTTACAACATTGTTAATAATATAATTAAAATTATCGTGATGTGAAAATTATTAATGTAGTTAACTTCAATAGTTTTTTGGCACAAAATATGTCAGAAAGTATTGAAAACTGCCATGAAATGAAAGTTAGCATTGAATATCTGGTAAGATTTGTTCTTAACTTCAAATGAAAAAAGTATCATTTTGGTATTGATATTAAAACTCATATTGGCACTAATTTTGCCAATTTTAGACATTACCCAGCCAAGCAACTTCTTATTCCAAGCAGTTTCTCTACAGCAGTGTGCATATCTGTCAACACCAAACCCAGCATGTTGGATCCCAATATGTTGTCGCAACAAACAGAGGTGACTTTGGGATTCATAGCAGGTTTTTGTAAAACAGAAGTAGAGAGGCTAGAGAACAGAGAGAGAGAGAGAGAGAGAGAGAGAGAGAGAGAGAGAGAGCACTGGACAGAAATAGGAAGCGGAGACATTTCCATTTGCTTCTTTCCCTTGCGCTTTGCTCCTGAACGTGAACCTGTAAAGTACATGTCTACTCTTGCTAAATATTTTCTAAATTCCACACCTGAATCCCTGAACAACACCAGCTGTGTTGGCTATACTAACGAACTGGTGAACACACATGGTCTTCCACATAAATACAAGGGTCCAGATGCAGATTCTTCCAGACGTTTTCTCACTTCTGATGTTGCTGAACACCTGCTACAGATGAACACTGAAATAGCAGTGTGGTCAGTGTCAGCTCTTGATGGTGACATGTTATTGGATCCAGGATGTGTCTTTGTGAGTGAAAGCTTCTAATTTGGTCAACTTAAACAAGACATCAGCCGAAAGTCCTGTCCAACAACAACAGGAGTGTCTATTGGTTTGCTGCAACACAGAAAGAGGGAGGATACAGTAGGGTCCACCCAGTTCATGAATATCCCTTTAAGAAAGAGATGGTTCAGATGGTTTTCAGTCCAAACTGTTAGACCCATGACAGACCCTAGGACAGCAGCATCGCAAAGCTGCACACAAGTCAGTCACAGTGGAAGCCTTGACTTGTGGGCTGCAATGTGTAGCCACAAATTTCTTTCACTCAGGGTGATTCAGGCCACACTGCAGACAGAACAGGAAATG